GTATTGTATGTCCTGTCCTGATGAAATGTCGGTTATGATTGATATACGCCCCTGTCGGCCCATATGCCACACTTACCCACTGACGCCCCCGATTGCCCCTGAATGTGGAATGCAATTAATATTTCTGATGAAAATCAAATTGAAATTATGCGTGGACTCAAAAATGAGATCGAAAACGGAGGACAAATATAATGGGTCTGTGTGGCAGGGTAACCAACCATCCCCCATCTATAGAGTGCTGATCTCTGTTGGTTTTCGGTTGAATGTGGGGGAGGAATATGCCGAAGGGAGGGGGGTAATGTGTGCGACAAATTGCTCTATTGGTTCCAGGGAGAAGTTACGTGAGACTATGAGCAGTTTCTTTTGATGTGGATGGATTAGGGAACAAATTTTCGTTGAACTGATTCGTATTTGGAATCACTACTTAGATTTCAGTTTGAAATCCTGAATTAGAACATACATATGCATCAGTACACAGTTATCGATATTCAAGAGAAACTTCGAGAGTAACTTTCGTTATACCAAAATGTTAATACATAGTTTAGGAAGTACGAAACAATTTCGTCGAAATTCATTCACCTCGTGCCCTCTTAATCATGGCTTCAGGGACACAAAAATATACAAAATCCTTCGCCCTAAGCCGTACACCAAACAACACAAAAAAAGGGAAAAAACATTTCCAGTTTCTATGGGGCCGCGCTCATTAGTAAGAAATCTCATTAGAAACCAATGAACGCGCACAGAAAAAATAAACACACACACTTACACACACTCGCACATGTAGAGAAGAGGGCTGGAGGGCTGGCGGGCAAGGGTGAGGGAAGGAAAAGGCCTTCTAATGAGAATTGGGGGGGAAATGAAAATCGTTCACCAGTTTCGATATTTTTCTACCATCATTTTCACTTTCACATCTCCGGCGCATGGGCACCATGGAATGGCATGGCATGATGTGAAAAATTAATTTTACCCTCAATCCAAACCCAATAGCCCCCAAAATTACCCCTACCCTTCCATAACTCAAACCCCTTCCCCTCAGCAAGCGACATTTTTTTTCGTGCGGCTCGAGCCAACCGAAAAGCCGACCAACCCAAAACTATCTTTCCCTCTCTTTTGGGGGTACTAAAATTTTGTTTCTATCAAATATTATTTTCTACAATAAACTAAAATGAGACTGTGTGTGTGTGTTTGTATCTGTGTGTGTGTGTTAGTATTCCACCCCCTAAGCTCTATTGTGTGGGTTCTGTGTACATGTGTCTGCGTAAGGCATGATAAAATAAAAATACGAAAAATATGAAAAAAACGAGAAAAATTAATAATGAAACTCAAACACAGAGAGACAAGGACAAATGCTATATACATAAGCCATGGCCATACATTCATGCACATACATACATCTACATATGTGTGTGTGGGTGTGTGGTCATAGAAATGAGTGTAGGGCTGGGGATGCCTGCTTATAATAATCATTTTGATAATAAGGCAAGTGTACGAGTAGTTGTACAAAAGTTTTCTTCTTCGTTCTGTCTAATGAGATCCCCATCATCATCATCATTGGACATTCCTCATTATCATCATCATCATCATCATCATCATCATCGGCATTAGCATCATCCTCATCCCCATACTTCCCTTCATCATAATGATGAAGTTTTATCTAGACCCTGTCACAGTCACCCCCATAAGTATGCAGGCAAAAACATTTTGGCAAGAAATCTATCTACAGAAGTTTTCACCAAAAAAATAAAATAAAAGAAAAGAAAAGCAGAAAAATTCCATAAATTTTTTGCTTAGGTCTTCCTTCCTCTCTCTCTTACACACACACAACTGCACATGCTTATTGGAAGGGGGGCGGGGGGGGGAGGGTAGAGAAGTTTGCAATTTTATCAGAAACACAGACATACACACACGAACACACACACAAATAGAAATACTAGCCCTCCTCCCAAACTTCTCTCCTTTGGCGACCCCCCAAGCGACTTTATGAAACCATCAAATTATTTTCTTTTCCATTTCTGACACTCAAAAGAAAACGGCAAACACAGTGCGAAAGAGAGAGAAGGAAAGTAAGGATGTTCGGCGGGTGGGAGAGTGCGGGCGGGGCGGGGGTGGGTGTGGGAGGGTGAAAGCCAGCGAAGAAATGAAGGGAAAGCAAAAAGGGAGAAAAAAATTATTATTTTCCAGTTACACTCTTCGCATGGGTCTCCATGGTGGCCCTGGCACATCCTTTACATTACATTTTCCTCCTCAAAGTTTTTGCCATAAGTCCCCCGCTCTGCCACCCTTCTCCCCCTCCCCCTCATCCTTTTCCTGTTCTTTCTTAACCCAAAATGCCTGCGGGTTACATTTTGCCCAGACCGTGTGTGTTTTTACCGGGTATTTGCAAGGAATTTTGTGTTCCTTAATATGTATGCCAGTGCATATTATATATTCCCGATCAGCATGAGCTTCAGATCGATTATATGTACAGATAGTATCTATATATTTCCTATAATCTATAACAATCAGCTAATTTTTGCCTCTAGACTGTTGAAAACCTTACCCTTACCCAGCCCGAGCGGATTGGTTATAAAGTTCTTGAATAGAGGGTATCTCACAGTCGGAATACCGCTCTTAGTTGTTTTTATGTGTACGCTGGTGTGTGTGGAGCTACTCCGTCTTATTCGAGTACGAAATTTTTATGAGAAAATGCCTGGCAGCTCAGGGCCTCTGCTATTCTGGGTGGGTGTGGGTGTGGGTGAGTGTGAGTGTGTGTGTTGGCCGGGCCCAAAACGGGCTGTATATCAAAATATTTAAAAGCAAATATAATATTGGGGGAGTTAAGCGCTGGGCGGCTGTATGAGTATATTTACGTGGGAGGATTACGGGCAAAAGGCGTAATAGGAAAACACTTAAGCAGCCCCCAGCCACCAGCCCACTCCAACGCCTCTCCAGCGAAATATGAAAATGTAAAAAAATTATATACATCTATTTTGTATAGTCAGATGTAGATACATACATATGTACTTGCATATTGTATAGTACATATATTAATAATGAGCCGCAGCGCCAGCGCAAAGAGAAAATGAGAAAAAAAAGGACAAAAATGGTGTCTGTGTGTAGAATTTATTGATTTTCAGCGAATAAATATTGCTGGAAGAGCACATGGCAAGTGACTTAATATCAGTCTGCTTTGATATTACCATATACGCAGGCACACAGACATAAAGATACATATAGTATGTATATTCATCTGTGTGTATGTACGTATATAGGGAGATATATCTTTATATTGAAATTGATTTGGCCTGCTGTCGCTGCTATCGTTGAAATTTTTATATTTTTATTGTCAGTCGCAGTCGCATTAAAAATACTTAATCTCCGACGGCACAGTTATTGCCCTCACACCGCCATAAAAATGGTGGGTGCACTGGGTGTGGGTGTACGTTTGTATATGTGCATACATATGTATATGGGGCAGTCCAGTACTTTAATCATGTCCATATCGAAAAATTTTACTTTATCGCTATCCCTAGCGTATACACATACATATTATTATTATTTTTCTGCTCTGTTCTGTGCTTTATTAGCACCCGTAAGGGGACCTCATGGCGTATGCTCAATGTGTGATAAAAACCCGCGAGAGAGAGAACGAGAGAGGGAGCTAATGAGACTTTTTAATAAATTGCCCCATTTTGCCTTTGCCTGGGCCCCGTTTTTAGTACAATTTTCATTATTAATAAAACTTTATGACATCTATATCTGAGTTCGTTGGTTGGTTCCGTTTTGCAGTTTTGTTTCATAAAAAAAGGGGCGGACCCACACACAAAATTTATTATTCCAATTAAATTTAGCAACTTCGTTTGCTATTGTCCTGGATATACGTATATATTTGTTTAAGTATGTTTTGTGTGTAGGTGCGGTTGTGTGTGCGTCATGATATCTATCAAAAGTTGGCTTCCATTTTGGACTATGGTCTTTGTAAAACCGTAAATTGTAGGACCTACTACCAATATATAGTGGATAGATAGATAGATAGATAAGGAAGGATCAGGTTTATCATAGGAGATTTCATCTATACAGGTTAGGGAGCTTATTCTCCTTATTCCGAGGGAACTCCTCCTCCTCAACATATGCAGATACAAAATTAAACTAAGTAATTTACAAAGTATTGAAGTGCTTCCCATTCTGTTGGTAGTTTAAAAACTGATCTTATTCTATTAAATAAAAGATTTAATTCCATTTCAACGACAGATGTGCATCACATCAAAGCTATAGGCGACAATAAAACACCCATATCATGGGTGAAAATATAAGATCTCATATGAGAGCTGATTCGACCCCAGAAAAAACACTTGTCGCATATTAGCTCCGTGCGACACAGTTTTGAGCGGGGTATTCTTGAGATTTGATTGAAATTCTACGGCTTTGCAATACACCTGCATGTACATACTTACATCTTTCCAATTAAATTCAATCATTCAGCGGTTATTAAGGTGAGACACTCTTGAAAGACGAATATTGAGAAATTGACACTGAATAACATAACACAACGTATAAAAAATGTATAAAAAAAGTACATGCATCTGATGAGGTTGGTGTAAGGGGAGCTTTTTAATTGTATTATTTGATATGTATATTGAGTATTTGGTAGATATATGTATGTATATATATAAAATGCAATCCGTCAATTTCCAAAGTTGCGTCCCAACCAAACTCTTGCAAATCTGGATAGTAACGTGGATTGCACAACATCTAAATGGTATACGATTTTGATAAGCATTCCAAAGCATTAAGCAATATAATTTGATGAATTTGCCAATTTTAATTTCATTTTATTTCGTGTGTGTTCTTTTATATCTATTTTTTTGTAAGCCAATTTATGGAATTTCGTTAGAGTTTCTTTAATGGGGCGGGCCAATGCAAGCGGATAGAGCTATTTTGTTCTACAGTTCGGTTAGGGGTTTGCGATTATTTTGACTGGTTTGAAAGACTGTTTGTGGTTGATATTGCTGGGGACTCACAATGTCTCTGGCCAGAGAGAGCATCTTTAATCCTAAGTGTAAACGTGTGCCAGCGTAAACGCGCTTCGAACGGAAACGGAAACTCCACAGATAATGCATATTAATGGCTAGTATTTTATTGATTTCGTTAACGATTAAAGCACTTTATTGGTATAGATATCGATTTAGGTTTTATTTGTTTTTAGCACATAGTTTCTGGTTAAAAAAAAAAAATACAAAAATTAGCTTCCTTGCCACCACTATATTGTTTTCGTATTGTTATTGGCTTACAAATCCTGGGGTTTTGTCACTTTAACACTTTTGGAAACACTGAAATCGGCAGATTCTTATGAATAATGCTTTTCATTATGCTTCTCATTCTGATACTGATTCTGATTCGGATTCTGGAAACTTACAGAACTTGTACGGGGCGTTACACTTATTCGATCATGCCGACAAGTCTTAAACGACGTTGTGGTAGCCACGCGCGGCTACTTCTGCACCACGTACGCGTTTTCTGTAGACTGATTCGGGCTTTTCAGTTTTTCCGATTGCCAGCCTGCCCGCCAAAGGATGCACAGGCACCGTCGAGACACCCACACACATATGCACAACACAGCGACAGAGAGAGCGTGTGCTCGCGAAAGAGAGAGAGCCACAACCACCACCAGAGACACCACCCCCACCGCCAGCCGCAACGCTCTGTTGCTATTTTGTTTACTTCTCGCTGCGGGGGCGTTCGTCGGAGAGAAAGAGAATAAGAGAAAGTAGAGGGGGCGAGTGCGGGGGTGTTTGCTCTTCTAGCCAAAACATGTGTTAACCTTTTCCAGTGGCTAACAAACTGGTTTAAGGTCCAACCAAAAGGGAAAAAAGGCATTCCAGATAAAACTGCCCTTAGAAAAGTATTGCCTGCTTTCGAGGGCATTTCTTAAAAATCTGAATGTCTTCAACTTTTGAATGAAAATAAAAGATTTTGTACTTAATACCATAATTATATGTATACAGCGCCCACTTGATGGATTCTTAGGGAATTACACGCACACACATACTCGTATGAGGACAAAAATCCTACCCTTAGCTCGCAGGACATGCGTATTGGATCAAAAAAAATGAAAAAAGAGAACTGTTCCGTCACAAGCGGTTAGGGGAGTCCCATTTTTGGTTTTTGTTGTTTCTGCTGTTGCTAAAACAGTTTATCAACACGACCAAGTCTCTGATAAAACAATCATCGTTTATGGTGCAACACGCTCCCCTCCCTCGCGTATCCCAGCAGCATAATTGAGAGATAGTCCAGTGACCAGAGCAGTTACGGAACAGAAACCGGACTGGGGGTAGCGGTGGCGGTGGCTGTGGCTCTCGAGTGGTATGGCGTGTGGAGTGTAGTGGAGTGGAGTGTGGACATGTTTCGTAACCGCATGATTAGAAATCGACTAAAGTCGATGTGGGGGTGCCGGTGCCCAGGAGTAGGAGGACTGACGGTAGGAGGCGGGTAAAACTAGGTTAAACTCAAACCCAAACCATTCAAATTATTGTTTGAGCTGATTTTTTAGTTGGTTTATGACAAACAATCTCAATGCAAAGGCGGAACCTGCGTGCGGCTCCGTAACTGCCGCCTGCCCCTTAAACGGCTTCTCGCCCCCACCGAAATGGTGGCACGCAGCGGAAATGAGAAGGCATAGTTTTAGCATTTTCCTTTAAATTACAAACAAAAAATAATAAAAAACAGCGCAGCAAGGATAGACGGATCAGGTCGAAACAAGGAATGCCCTGCAAGTAGATATTAGAAGAAGGCTGGGCCACAAAAATTAACCATTATTCTTGTATAATTATTTTAGTGAGTTCTGATTTAGATAATTAATCCCGTCATGACTTCTTTTCAAATGTACTTAAGTTTTGTAAGCTACTTATGTAAAAACATTCATAAATAAATAAATATAAAATAAATCCCAGCTAGTTCTCTTCCGTTAAATAAGCTCGAAGTCAAAAGTTACAAATTAATAGTTTACTCTACATAGAACAGTCAATAATTTGTAAACTTAAGGAATAATGAAAGTGGCAAAGCTTTGTTGTTTCCAAAGGTCATATGACCCCAAATATTGGCAGAGTATTTCACAAGAAAAGACGAATGAGAAATCAAATATGCGTTTAGCACGATATATTCAAATTTGTGTACGTTTCCACCGAACGAGGCGGGGGTTACATCGGACAGAGGGAGTAAATCGGGGCTTTATTCCACTTTTTGTTGTATGCCACATTAACCCGAACAGAGTTTTTTCCGGGGAATTTTCAATAATACTCGTACAATAGCAGGTTCCCCGACCCCGCTCATTTATCGCCCTTGCTGCTGGTAGAAATTTGGCGCTGTCGGTGCTGCAGTAGCTCCTGGTATTGCTCCACGGAGCCATCTTCGTGCTTGGAGGCGAACGGTGGCTGCTGTTGGGCCGCCTTGGCTTGTGCATCATCGACGGCGTCTTTGCCAGAGGCAGCACGTTTCGTCTTCTTGATTTTGTCGCGCACGCGTTTCCCCAGTCGCGATGCGGCAAGTACTTGACTGACCTTGGAGCTCTTCAGATAGCGTGTGCGCCAGGACTGCAAACCGAGATGGAGGAGAGTTTCAGCCAAGAGACAGACTTGCTTTAGTTTTATTTATTACCTCTGTGTCGGCTTCCTTCAACTTTTCCCGCTCATCTTCGCTGGTGTCTAGCAAGATGACATCGTTGTCCATTTCCTCGGGATTTGACAGATTTTCGGTCTTTACAGCCACGGCGGGTGGCTCGTCCTCCTTGGTCATTTCCTCAATCATATCAAGATCGCCTCCTATAGATATAACATCATCGTTTTGATCTTCATCATCTAGCATGGGCAGCTCTGCGGCAGCGGGAGGAGTGCTTGTACTGGAAATCCCTTCATTGGGCATTTCTACATCGGCCGCAATCTGTTTTTCCGGCATAGGAAGCTGTGGAGCCTCTGTGGGTTCCTCCATCTCCTCTGGCTTCCCTAGCTCGATGGGTTTGACCGGCTCCACAGGGTCATCTCGCACCTCACCTTCCTCCGGCTCGCTTTCCACAGCGGGTGGTGGCGGTGGTTCCTCTACAGCTAGCTTCGGTGTCTCCTTGGGCTTCTGCTTGGGAGCCTCGTCATCGGTGCTGTCGCTGATCAGCAACGTTTCGGTCTCCGTTGGAATGGGTATCACATCAGGCGAGGCCGAACGTGACCTGTTCTGCTCCTTCTTACCAGCATCTTCTGCGGCGACTGAAGCTGAGGACACAGCTACAACAGTTTTCTCTGGCGACTTTGTTGGATGGCGATAGTTTCGCTTGATTTTGATCTTCTGGCGGGGCGCTTTTTCCTTGCTGCTGCGCTCTGGAGCTGTCTGTGGTGGATCCTTTCTGGCTGATTGTTCACTAAACTTCCGCTTTTCAGGCACGTTGCTTCTGCTGCTGCGCTTCTCCGGCGCGGTGCTATTGCCGCTGCGCTTTTCTGGCACGGCACTCTGGCTGAAGTGCTTCTCCTTTCCCTTTTCCTTACTGTTGTATGGCTGGCTCTCCTCTTTGTCCTCATCATCAGATTTGACCTCGATCTTGGTGATGGGTTCCATGGCCAGCTGCGAGCGAATTGCTCGTGCTCTCGCTTGAAGCTCCAGCAGTTCCAGGACGCTAATTTGTCCACCAGCTAAGGATACAGGAGTGATTGAATTAGCTATCTGTATACGTACGAGTAGTAGTCAATGAAAGAGTAGTCATGGAACTACTCTAGCATTTGTTTCTCATTCCACTTACACGCCTTGTTTTCGTTTCCATTGTTTATTTGTTTCGCTTTAAGTTTCTTCCTTTTGGCTAAAATTGAAGCAGAAGTAGACGGCACATTAGTAAATTGTTAGATAAGTTTAATTAAAATTTAGCTGCACGCCACATAATGGAGAAGCCTTTGGTGCTGGATAGCCAGGAGACTGTCGAGGGCGAGGACGAGCATCTGGACGATGAGAATCAATTGGAAAAGTTCACGGTGCGTCTGAATGGTCAGCACGATCTGGAAAAGAGGCTGCGCGACTTCAAGGCGGCCTGTGAGGCGCACGAGAAGCATGCCAGGCGACGAAAACGTCGCCGCTACTACCACATGGGTCTGGTGGCCAAGCTGGTGGCCGAGACCACGCCCGACGAGCTGCGACGTATGCTGGAAAACGGCACCTACACCTTTCACGTGGACGCCGTGTCCAACAAGCCCGACGAGCTCAATGCCATCCTGGAGACGCTGAACCTGGCCATTGCGGGTTATATCGAAGATCGTGAGCTGCGCCTGGCCACCGGGCTGGCCCTGGAGATCAATGGCGAGTGCTGCCGCGTCGGCAGGCTCCGAAACAACTGTGCTGTGATGCTGGCGCGGGGTGCCGTCGTAACTCTGACCACGGACGAGGACTACCGCTATGGGGGCTACAAGGAGATCATATTCGTGATTAATCTGCAAGCGTATCTGAAATCAGTCAAGATCAACGACATTCTGCTGATTGGACGAGAGGTGCGGTGTCGTGTGGTGAAGACGCTGCGCGAGGCCCTGACTGTGCTGATTATCGATGCCGGTCTGCTGACGGGATACGACTTTATAGAGCTGCCGCGGCAATGCCATGCTCTGGATCCTGCTGTGTACCCGGACCTTTACATGAACGACCTGAAGATTGCCGCCGAACTGAAGGCTAACTATGTGGTGCTGCCGAAAATACGCTGCAAGAACTTCCTCAAGGCCGTCCGGCATACAATCAAAGACGAGTTTGACCTAAAGCTGATTGGGATGATTGATTTTGAATACGTGCGGACTAATATGCTTGATCTGCTGGGCATCATCAAGCTGTTGGACTACATCTGGATACCGGACATGTTCAATGTAAGCTGCTGTGTCTACAACTACATCATGGAGGATGTTCTTTCCATTGCCCACTGCCAGAAGACGCCGGTGATTGGCACGGTTCCCCTCGAGCGTTGCAGCGACTTTAAGCGCTTCGAGTTGCACGAGTTCCTTTGGAAGATCGATTCCATCCACATCCAGAAGAGCCCGTGGTGCAACAAATATCCGCTAATTGTCAAGAAGCTGATGCCTATACGTGACTATCGCGTCGGCGTCGTTCAGAACAAGATGACAGTGAAGAATATTCTAACCTCGTACCAGACCATTGTGAACTTCATCATACGGACGATCAGCTCTATCGAGTGCCAGGCGATTTTCATCTACACCAAGTGTGAGAATGCCAGCATCGCCTTGTCCCGTACTGAGATCTATTGCCCCGTCTTCCTGATGATGCCGCTCCTCGATGATGACGACGAGGCCACCATCAAGTGCAAGTTTGATCTGGCTCGGGCCTTGCATCTTCGCCGAAACATGCATCCCGTTCTCTACACCAAGGATCTGAACGAGTGCAACTACAGTCCGATCGAGTTTGGTGTGGACTACATACGACGCAAGGGCTGCCTCGAGGTGGGTGACTTTGTGCTCACCCTGGAGGTGGGCAAGGAGGACGCGGAGAATGTGGTCATTGGCATTGATGAAGATGTGTGCATACTACGGGCCTTCTACGTGTCTCCTTTGGTTGGTTGCGAGAAGTTCAAATATGGAACGTAAGGGGGCATGCGACTTTCCGGCGTGCAGTTGTACAGATATTACTCAAAATAAATGGTAACAGTATAGACGGTTTTGTAATTTACTCACTTCGGCGGGCTTCCTGGCCTCCGATATCGCTGTCGGACGAAATTTCCTCCAGTGAAATGTGTTCTGCAAATAGAAAACGATAATCAATCGTATATAAATGTATATGTGGGCATGTGTGTACCTTCTTTGCGCTCCACATCCGAGTCCTCAGAGCTCTCCGTGTCAGTGGGACAGCGGGTGCCATCGATTATTGACTTGAGTCGCTTGGTGGACAAACAGAGCAGCTCCTCCAGACAGAGTTCTTCAATCTCGTCCAGGGAGTTTTTCTGCGGTTTAAAAATGTTTATTACCCTTAAATGTGTTAGTCTTTTATCCGTTAGCTTACCTTAAGAAACTCCGGGGCCAGATTCATGATAGTTTTCGGCTTAAGGGTGCCAAAAATCTGTTTCACCAGCTCCAGACGGTCATCGATGTAGTGGGAAATGGGGTGCAGCGAGCGATCCTCCTCAGTCTTTTCCTTTTTTATGCTAATCGGCTTGGGTATTTGGTCACCACCCTTGATCTTTTTCTTCAAGCTGCTGCTCATTTTTCTAATTTGCTAATTTCGATTAAAAAATAAACAATTTATTCTTGCAGCTAGCGTTGCCGTATCAGCGGTTTCAGTAATGTTTTAATTCGCCGCAGTTTTTTGACAGTTCAGAACAGCTGTTTCGGCAGACGTGAGTGTGTGCGTGCCGTTGAAGAAAAATTGTGTTTTTTTTCATTCATTTACCAAAAGAGTTGCGGTAAGTAAATTTTTAGGTAATTGGTTTGCATCCATAAGCAGAGGTATCTTAAAAAGCTATGCCAATCAGCGACTAGTTTTCCCAAAAAAAACAAGACAAGTAAAGTAATATTGCCGCCACAGTGTTGCCACACTTCTTAACTCAAACATATGTTCTACAGAGCCGACAAGGGGGTTATAGCGTCGGTAAAAATAGCATAGCCAGCAAATAACTTTATTGTGCCGTGGAAATAGGTTTTCTAGCTAAGTAACGTCGAGTAAACAAATGTGGTGGACCGGTCGAATGTGCGCAAATGTGTGTGGCGTATGGTAGCCCACCGTAGAACTTATTGAACATCCGCTGAAAACTGGGAAAAGATTTGACGGGACGGCCACGGCCACGGCATAAAGCAAAGTACAAATCTCAATTACGATGAGTGTCTCGCGGAGCGGTAACACGACGCTGGATCTGGAGCCACTACTGGACGAGAGCCGTGACGACAGCGATGCGGATAATCAGAAAGGAGAAGCCACAGGCGGAGGTGCCCTGCTGAATGGCTCCTCCTCGAAGGAGCCTCGCGCCACCGGTGTGGGGCACCGGGATAGAGAGCGCGAGCGGGACGAGTCAGCCGTGTTCATTAAGAAAATCAGCAGCGCAGTGTTCTACGGACTGTCCTCGTTCATGATAACCGTGATTAACAAGACAGTGCTCACGTCCTACCGCTTTCCTTCGTTCCTGTTCCTCAGCCTGGGCCAGCTGACTGCCAGCATAGTGGTCCTGGGCATGGGCAAGCGGCTCAAGCTAGTCTCGTTCCCGCCGCTGCAGCGCAACACCTTCGCGAAGATATTTCCACTGCCACTCATCTTTCTGGGAAACATGATGTTCGGCCTGGGCGGCACCCAGTCCTTGAGTCTGCCCATGTTCGCTGCCCTGCGCCGCTTTTCCATACTGATGACCATGCTGCTGGAGCTGAAGATTCTCGGGTTGCGGCCCTCGACGGCGGTGCAGGTCAGCGTGTACGCGATGATCGGCGGGGCTCTGGTGGCCGCCTCCGATGACCTGTCCTTCAACATGCGCGGCTACATATACGTGATGATCACGAACGCGCTCACCGCCTCGAACGGGGTGTATGTGAAGAAGAAGCTAGACACGTCGGAGATCGGCAAGTACGGCCTGATGTTCTACAACTCACTGTTCATGTTTCTGCCGGCCCTGGCCCTCAACTTTTTCACCGGCGACCTGGAGCAGGCCATAAACTTCAGCGAGTGGCACGACCCTGTCTTCGTGACACAGTTCCTGCTCAGCTGCGTCATGGGATTCATACTCTCGTACAGTACCATATTGTGCACGCAATTCAACTCGGCCCTGACGACCACCATTGTGGGGTGCCTGAAGAACATATGCGTGACCTATCTGGGCATGTTCATTGGCGGCGACTATGTCTTCTCGTGGCTCAACTGTATCGGCATCAATATAAGCGTGTTGGCCAGCCTCCTCTATACGTACGTGACGTTCCGCCGGAAACGGTCGCCCGATAAGCAAAGCCACTTGCCCAGCAGCAACCGCGGGGAGAATGTCTAGCTTCACACAGCTTTAGCTCCAACTCAAGCCAAAGCCATATAAATATATGTTTACCATATATCGTATTTTCGTATCTTCCCCCACAAGCGCATCGTATCTGTACATATATAAATATATATATACATAGTTATGTATCTAACGAGTGTAATTACTAATTAGCAATTATGTAATTTTAATCACTTTGTACATTTTTCCATGCAACTGTTTTCTGCATCAAGAGTGTCATAAGTAATAGAAAATATACACAGACATCCAAGATACTCCTGCTTCGTCTCGTTATCGTCCCGTTCCGTCTCGCAGTGGAAATGTGGGAAAGATAAGCAATAGTATTTTGTGTGTCCCACTTCCAGCATGGGTCCGATGATTAGATTGCTCCCGCATGATAAGGGCTCTGATGAATATTTAATGGAACAAATACTTCTCGCATGTGCGCCACATGCTCTTTCTATTGGGATCTTTGCGCTCCGTTTATCTATTCTGAGTATACAAACTACCTAAAGATATTCTTATAAATGCTGCAGTGCTAAACAATCCAGCAGCGTCATCACTCATCAAAACATATGTCTAAGCGTATAAATTAACAGGGGAATACGACTAGAATAGTAGTGGAAGGCGTCGGCTATTGGATGCTCTTTCTCTCTCTCTTTCATTTTATCATTTATAAGAATGTTCAAAGCATTCTCTGTATTTTCTAATTACTCTTAATGTGTGTTTTATATATAAAGGCATTTCGATAAGAAGGCCCCTTATAACTGAAAGTGAAATTAATATTTGATTAGCTACTGGAACGGAATGAAAGAAAGATTAATACAGCACTTGATGTGCTACTGCTCTTCTACGTGGGGAGTGGAGTCTTTGGATACTTTAGATCAAGACCTGTGTACGTTCGCTCTAATCGGTGAATTTGCGCAGCACAAGAAGCTTGCTTTATTCGTGTATGTTACAAGTGACTCAAACGTGATAGTAAATTGTTTCAACCTGTTTACCCGAAAAGATAACAATGACGACATTGAATTTTGGGCCTGAAAGTAGTACTAGTGGCACATTGGACCCCCGGCACTTTGTTTAGGCTATACGTATTTTGAGACTCCCCATTTTTTGATTGGCAGAGGTGGCGGAGGGCAGGGAGCCCCCGAAACAGGTTTTCCCAGTCCTGACCGTTGGGCGGGTGATTGTTCTCTGTATGAAGCAAAAAACAGTTGAGGTAAATCGTTATTCAGCGTCTCCGCATTATGGACAAATTGTTTACCTTACCCAAACTTGTTGCTATCGGAGGGGGACACGTACAGATTGATAAACCATAGACACAGGTAGTCAGGGTCATGTTTATGCCTATGTTTGAAGCTTATGATGATCACGATGAGGAAGGTCAACGGGGTGTACATGATTTTGTTTCCACAGAACATGATGCAGCGCTGCTGGCGCCTCACAGTGCCGCTGGCTAAACGTGGCCTTGCCGTGGTCACACACACGCGACAGGCGGTGGTCTCGGACAACCCAGAAGCAGAGAATCTAGACGGATTTGAGCAGCAGTATCTAAAGGAACGTATTGAGATAACAACATTTCAGCGAATGCTCCTAGGGGCGGGCTCTTCCATAGCCGCCATACTGGATCCAAGACGGTAGCGAATCCCAAAGGAAGTTCCTTTATTTTTACTAAGAGATTATTTCTCTGACAGCCATGACATGATCGCCTGTCTGGGTGAGACTACTGGGGAGGATGCTTTGTGGAACATTATGGACACCATGCATGAGAGTGAGGAGGGCCAACGCATCATGGTCGAGAAGCCGCGCATTCACACCAGCACCATTGACTTTAAGCGACTGGAATCTCTGCCTGCCGACACGTTTGGAGCCGCCTATGTGAAGTTTCTTAAAGATAATGTAAGGCTAATGGCATCTGGGTAGGATTTCTCACTTTCTTTCTGACCCTTTCAGAAAGTCACGCCGGACAGTCGCATGGCCGTACGCTTCCTGGAGGATCCCAAGCTGGCCTATCTGATGACGCGCTATCGCGAGTGCCACGATCTGATCCACACGGTTCTGGACATGCCCACTAATATGCTCGGCGAGGTGGCTGTCAAGTGGGTGGAGGCGCTCAATACTGGCCTGCCCATGTGCTATGGTGGAGCGGTGTTCGGGGCGGTCCGCCTCCGTCCCAAGTGAGTTCGATGAACCCTCTTTCCCCATTGTACGCATTTATATGATTTTGTTTGGTGTATCTGCAGGCAGCGACGGGCGTACTTGAAGCATTACTTGCCGTGGGCCCTAGAGAACGGCAAGCAGATGAAGCCCCTGATGCCCGTCTACTGGGAGGAACGGTGGGAGCAGAATGTGAATGAGTTGCGCGCCGAGCTAGGCATTAAATTGTTGAATAAAGTTTAAAATTTTATTTTTTAAAACGCCAATTTTTGAAGCTTTCCCACATCGATAACTATCGATCACCCGAAGATCGCGCAATGTGAGACGGTCTGGTAGCGCTGCTCTTAATGTTCATATTATTCAAAGAACTTAAAACATTATTTTAGAAACAATCAAAAACAAGGGAGTACTTAATATTAGCCAATCTTGTAGAAAATTTATCTATCAATCGAATAAAATTATGTGTTAATTGCGGAAGATCTCAGGTAGCTAGTAAGATCAAATCGAATATCAAAATCGAGGAATATGATCGGAAAGATCATGGACAGGGAACGATTAACCATTCTTGTATGTGTTGATGATGATGTGTTGTTGTTGATGTTTTCTTTCCGTTTCTGCGCTGTTTAATGGCTCAATATTTATTAAACTCCCACCATGGCCGAGAAATTCAATGGTTTTAGCCACGACGATATACTCAAAATAACCGGAGTGAAGGAAGGCGGCAACGGACACAGGCCACAGAGTGCGGAAGCAGGTTGGTTGTGTGAAAAATCATCGACAATTATTTTGTTTATAACAAATATGCTGGTGCGTTTGTGTGTGTGATTGCAGCCAAGCAAGCTCTCCGAAACCAGCCCGGCATTAGGCGCATGCCCGATAAGAATATCCGGCAGGCAGATCAAATGCGAAAGCAGCAGCCCCAATCTCAAGCGAAGCCTCAACAAGTTGCAGCAGCAAAGAAGACCACCGCCAAATCGGGCAGGAGCACTCCCACGGAATCGACAGCACCTCCCACGCCAAACACTGACGTCGTCCCGGCTCAAGTTTCACTCAACTTGGACCGTCCGCTCTCCGACTCTCTGGTGGAAGCTCTCTACTATGGCAAGGCCTCGGCTCCCTCGACGGGCAGATCTGTTGCTACCACTGCCACGTATGCGGAAGCTGTTGCTGCTAGTAGTGGTGGCGTGTCTAGTGGCGACGGCGACACCAGCGAAGCGACAATAGATGACAGCTCAATACTGAAGATAAGCAATAGTAATAAAAATGGCACCAGCTCTGATGATGCCGCCAGCATACTGCCCAGCACCAAAGACTTGTCGCGGGAGGGCCTGAACACGGACTCGCCCTTCAAGGGCGTCTCTCTGCAGGACTTTGAGCAGCATCGCAAAATGATCCAGGAGCAGAATAAGCAGAAGAAGCAAATGCTCTATCAGGCCATCGAGCAGCACACACAGAAAACGGCAGCGGAGTCGCGCAAAATCGAGGAAATACGTCACGAACTCTCCAAACTGGAGAGCGATCTGGCCGTAGATGTGGCCATGCTGAGGAAGCAGATTGACAACGCTTGCATACATTTTGCCAATGTAGAGTGAGTATATTTCCTTAAAAAGAGGATGCGTGTTCATTGCTTGCCTTTGTTTATCTAGAAAACAATATGTGCGGATCGAGGCTCAATTCCTGAAGGCCAAGGTAGACCTGCACAATGCCTCGGAGAAGAAGGAACTACTGACAGAACATCTCTGCACTGTCATAGCCCACAATGAGGATCGCAAGGCGCAGAAGCTCACGGAGCTGATGCAGAAAGTAGGCCTGGCGCCAACCGACGAGCCCCCGACCTCGCCACAGAATCTGAGTGAATCTTAAATTAAATTAAATTAAATTTGTAATTTTGAATGCTCTATAATTTTTATGTATATTTTTACTTAAGCAAAAAAGTGCAAATTGCAATAAATAATGTGTATTTTATGTGTAAATTTTAATGAAGCTAGTTTTTGTTGGCCTGTTGGCCAAAACCGGTCAACAACAATTAATTTAATTTAAATAATAATTTAAAATAAATAAATAAAATAAATAATTTAGTTTAAATAAATTAATTTATTAAATGGTATCACATTTGCTACAGTTTAACTAAATTTTCAAGTAATTACCAAAGGCGACAGCTCAAAAATATATACAAAAAAATACAGACGAATTCTATTATACATACTCCGATTTTGATATTCCGTGGAATATTATTAGCTATATAGAACATTTAGCCATTCCCACATAATTGTATCCGATTAATGAACCTATCTTCGACTTGACTGGTTTATTTTAAGTACTTGCTTTTATATCGATCTTGTTTAAAAAAAGGTTTTAACGAAAATGGCCAATCAAAAAAAAACGAAAGATGATAGTCGTTCCTATTGTTCAATTTTGATATTCCGTCAAATATTATTAGCTAGATAGAATATTTAGCCATGCCCACATAGTTTTTTACGATTGATGAATACATTTTCTACTTAACTGGCTTATTTTAAATTCTCGCTTTTATTGGATTTTCCCTAAAAAAAGGTTTCTTGTAGCACGGAAGAAATCTTTGGGAGAAACACCGTAAATATACCGTCAGCTAAATTTTGACCTAAAAAAATACCGAAAAGTATTAAAAATATAAAAAAAACATATGTTTTTTTCCGATAGTCTGTGACTGGCAAATTTGGCGTATTGCTCAAACTTCATTTTGAAAAACGTGCGGAAAAGTTTATAAAATATTTAAGCTATTTACAATTTAAACTATGGCAGGACGCGGACGTGGAGGAAAGACTGGTACACTTACTGCCGAGCAATTGGCGATGCTTGGCTGTGTGAAAGACCTCCCCGTACAGTCAGCGCCGCAGCCGACGTTTCCGCCGGTAATGAACAAGCCCATTGCCCTGGAGGTATGTTTAAACCAGAAAAAAACTTGATCATCAGAAATATTTTACATCTTGACTTTGTTCCCTTGGCAGACAACAGAGGCAGAATCCTTTCAACTAATGTGGAAGGAGAAGTTTCTGAATCGCATGCGGAATTCGCCGTACTACGTTGTCTCAGAGAGCGAGGAGAAACAGAATTTAGAGCAAAAAGACTGGCGAGAGGTAAGTACTTCGTTTAAATGATAGAAAAAGAATTATGTTCTTGCGTATCTCTGCAGAAAATTCTGGGGCAAAAAAAGCCAAAAAAGCAACCCGAGTTCAACTACAGAGCCATGCCCAGGGAGCTGAATATGTCGAATCGCAAGCGACGGGGCGCGGATGCCCGACCCAAGCTGCTGACCAAGAAGACTGACATTGAGGATAGACTGAAAGTGCTGGAACAGAAGGAGCTGAAGACCGGCGCCGAGAATGAGCAGGACGATGCCAAGAAGGAATCCGATTCCGAGCAGGACGACGAAATGGACGACCCTGAGGCGGCACTAGACGATGAAATGGATGACGAGAACGACTATGGCAACAGCTATTTTGACAATGGCGAAGCCTACAACGAAGAGGATGACAACCTGGATGATGGCCCCGTCATATAATTAAATTGTGTTGGATCTCTGATTTACTATGTCGCCACTTCAATCTTATTTTAAACACATTTCAAATACAATATATATTTAGAGGGATGTGTGATTTAATCCAAATCCTTGGGGGGGCTGTAGTTGAAGTACACCAATCCAGAAGACTTCACCTGCAAAATGGTATTCAATTAGCATGTACAGGGGATCTCAAATGGGCTGTGGTCAGGCACTCACGAATCCAATGGTTCCGGCCAACACCAAAACGCCAGCAATGAGAATGACATTGTATTTGGTGTTCTGCTGGCTGTACTGCTCCTTCCAGTCCCCAGCGGGCACGGGCAAATCGTTCATGGTGGAGTGCTGGTGGTGTCCGCCAGCGTGGTAGGCAGCGCGCGACATGGCACCAGCTGGAGTTACAAGGATTTACACATTAATGAATTACCAAAGGCGCAGCATATTGAAAAGCTCCACTCCTGTCTCCCATTTGGGTGCATCACACATTATGTAATGTTTAAGGTTAGCAGATGAGCCGTGAAAATGGCCCTTTGCGTTGTACTCACCATTTCTGAGCAGAAGGCCCTGCTTGACAATGTTCTTAACCAACATGATTGCTTGAAAGTTTCTGCAAAGGTTTAAATTGTTTTAAAATTCGAGTGATTTTTTTTCGCTTACGACTTTTTGAAGGTGTGACCAGCGGACTTATCGATCAAATATACGGTCTGACCCTCAGAAATATACCGTATAATTATAAAAATATACCGTAAATATACTGACGAATTGAAGTTCGATTATACATATAATCGTTTTTGATATTCCGTCGAATATTAACAGCGGGATAGATCTCTCTGCCCTGCTTGTTTTATGTTCTCATCTTAATGGGATTGTTTACAAAATAAGGCTTAAACAAAAACGGTCAACAACAATTTCCACGAATTTTCTTTACTAACTACATTTTTTTGTAGTCTGGCAGCCCTGTGTAGTGTCAAGGCGCAAAGATACCGCGAAAACAACAAAAGTGTGCAATACCGACAGCGGTGCCAGATAGACGAGTCCGCTACTGGGAACAGCTGTTCTATGTCTGTGGAGGCGTATTATTTGCAAAAACACTAAGTAAATTAGGTTCTAGCAGCAATTGCTCTGCCCGGCGCTACTCGAGACATTCCCCAGCCATGCTGTCCATTGGCGCCTTGGCCAACATCAAACACATACTGCAGAAGGAGTTGTTCCTGGTCTCCGGCGAACGCCTCCTCTCAGTGGTGACGGTGGTCAAGAAGAAAGACAAGAAGCCCTGCTATCTGTGCGTGGTGACCACAGCGCCGCCGGTGCCCGTGGTCACCTTGTGCCTGGTCAAGCAATCTGAGCAGCGGGAGTCCGAGTACAAGAGGAAGCGCAGCTGGCAGCTGGACGAGGTAAAGTCTGTCGATGGGCGAAACGAGCAGTTCGAGACGCACGAGTTCGACATTCAATTGGAGAAGCTCTACAAGTGGTATGCCCTCAACCTGCACGAGCGACAAAACTTCATGGCCGTCCTCAATAGACAAATCCAGAAGTACGTGCGCGGTCCACGGGCAGAGTTTCGCAACGTTCCCAGTGCCTGGCTCTCGGAGAAGTCGCCGGAGAAGGTGGCCCTGGGTCGGGCAGCCCAGAAGACCCAGCACACCGATGACGAGGACGACGAGGAGGAGGAGGCCCAGGAGTTTACGGCGTTGACTGACAAGGAGGCCAATGAGCTGGGAA